CCTTGGATAGCCATAGGAGGTTGGAACATGTCCCCGCGTGATATGTCCCGCACTGGTTTTTTGGAAAGAATCGGGGGAGCCATCCTTCGGTCGAATATAGAGTACACGTGCACGCCTGGCAACAGTGAGCACAGGCCTTCACATCTAGATTACGTGATTTGCTCAGAAGCGGCAAAACCATACATCCGCAGTCTGAGTGCAATCGCCGATGTACCCTGGAAGCCCCATGTAGGTTTATCTCTTGAGCTGATTGCCCAGGGGTCCCAGCTTTACACTAAATATTTGGATCTTCCCGCCCGCCTGCCGTCTGTCCCCAGACCTCATAAGCAGCCTGTCGAGGGGTCCAAGAGTAGCATTGCCAAAGCTCAGCGTAGGATTTGCAAGCAAGCTGCCAGGGAGCGCAGGCATGAAAAAAATCGTAAATGGTTCCCTGCACCCGCCAAGCAGAGTGAGCATGAGTTAAGAGTGTGGCATGGTCGTGTCGTCCCCGCCCCAGGCCGTCGTTAGCGAAGCCGAGACAGGTATCGGCGACGCTGATGATGGTGACTTCCTGGGCTTCGAGTCGGAGGACGAGGGCCCGTGGGCCAACGAGCCCAACTTTGGTTTCGACCCGCCGCCTGCGCTTGCTGCTTCCTCTTGCTTGCCTCAGTCGGACAGTCCAGTCAGGAGCCCTGAACCCACTAGCCCCGATTCGAAGCTCAGGGAGCATCCGTCATCGGCGTCAGCTATGGGTTCGGTTTCAAGCGAGCAGCCTGGCCCTGAGGGTAGTGAGCATTGCCCAGAAATGATGTGCCTTATGCCATGGAAGAGAGCCTCTGGAAGCAACAAAGGAGTGCCATCGGCTTCGTCGCCTCGGGGGAGCACCCCCCTGATGATGCTGTTGCTGCCTCCGTAGCCCTTCGGGTTGGCTCCAGCCATTGTGATTTCATCAGCGGCTTGCACGCTGGCTGGGTTCGGACCCTTGAGAGCTCCATATCGACACTTCACTCTCAGGCCCCCCCTTGGGCGCGCACGCGCGGATGCTCCCAAGTTTCGCACAGATGTCGTCCTGGGAGCAACACCTGCTCGGGTACCTGCGCTGAAGGACGTCGTCAGTGGGTGGTGGGCGCGCGTGCACACGGTTGTTTCACATTACCATCGTCATCGGGCTCGCTGCAATGGGGAGAAGCAGCGGGCCGTGTTGGCAGCAGCAGGCGCCAACTTGCACCAGTCAGCCCCCGAGCAGAGGCATCGAGTTCTACGGCCAGGCGGCCCTTTCTCTTGGCAGCAGTGGCTTGCTCTTCTTGGTGACCTCCCAGGCTGTTCCGACGAATTGCTGAAGGCAGGTGTTTCATTCAGTGAACGGGTTGCCAAGCGGAGTCAGGCCAGAGCAGTGATTCAGTCAATTTCAGAGTTCAGGGACTGGATGGAGACGCAGGTGGCAGTTTCATGTTTGCATCGGTCTATCAAATCGCAGCCAGTTGCGCCAGACGTGCTGGAGCAGGAGCCGCCCACCATTCAGCACCCCAAGGATATCCTAGAGGCCAAGAGTTTGCATTGACAGAAAGTCTGGAGTCCACCGATGCAGGACGCCTTATCTGAGCTGCACACGCTGTTTGATCATATTCGTGAGCGGGTGCGGAGCGAGAGGTTGCCCGACCTCACGGGCCAGCAGTTGAAGGACGCTAGCAGGTTGCTCAAGCCCAACGCCGCGATGGGCGCCGACAGGCCCACGGCGACGGACTTGGACCGCCTGCCCCTGGTCGCTCTCGACGAGCTGGCAGTCCTCCTGAACGCCTGCGATGTGTTCCAGTGCTGGCCGCACCAGCTCCTGTTGACCATCGGCACTCTCTTGCCGAAGAAGGTTGCTGGCGACAGGGTCATCGGCTTGCTCCCGCACATCGCGAGGCTGTGGTCAAAGGCGCGCGAGCCGTGGGTCCAGTGCTGGACCGAGGCTTGCGAGGCGCCATGGGATGCGGCCATCAAGGGGAACGCCGCCATCCAGGAGGCGTTCCTCAGAGTGGTGGACGAGGAGCTGGCGGTGCGGCTGGGCGTTGCCCACGACCACGGGCTGCTGGACATCGCCAGCTTCTACGACACGATTGGGTGTCTGCGACTGGGGCACGCAGCTCTGAGGCTGGGTTTCCCAGCCGAGGTGCTGGGGCTCGAGTTGCTCATGTGCATGGCGGCCAAGTGTCTGCGCCAGTCGGGCGCCTACTCTGAGGCCTTTTTCTCCGACTCGTTCGATTGTTCAGGGCCTTCGAGCGGGCACCAGGTTCGCCAAGATAGTAACGTTTTTCATCATGCAGCGGATAACATCCACACATTTGGGGTTATCGCATCGGTTGTGGGTCGACGATCTGAGTCAGGTTGTTCGTGGTTCTCGCCGTGCAGTGGTGCGTATCCTGTCCGCCTGTCTCATCGCGACCTTCGAGCAGATGCAGCAGCACGGGCTCACCATCGCAGCGAAGAGTGTAGTGGTCTGCACTAGGCTAGCGGACGCACGCGCTGTCGTGCGCAAGGTCAGGCAGAAGGGGTTTGCCGTGCGCGCTGCAGTTCAGGCCTCGTACCTTGGTGGCGACTTTGGCGGGGGTCGGGCTCGCGCACGCGCGGTTCGGCGCGAGCGGGACCAGAAGCACAAGCGCATGTATGCCAAGGTCGCGATGTTTGCCAGGACTGCACGACGCTACCAGCTCACCTCGCGGCTGGAGCAGCAAGGGGCTCTGGCCGCAGGCTCCTATGCTCATCAGCTTCATGGGGTGTTCGGCCGACGCATGAGAACGATGAGGTCATATCTGTGTGATGCGGTAGCGCCACGTCTGTCGGGCCGCTGCTGCACCACCCTCCTCGACCTGTGCGCGCGCGGCAGGGGCCCCGCCCTCAAGATGCCGAGGGAGTGCTTGCAGCTGTGGCTACGATGCTGGACACCGGAGCCCGCCATGCGGTCAGGTGTCTCGAGGACTTGGGCTGGGGTTGTGCAGCAGTTGCGCGACATCAAGCCTGAGCAGCGGAGCAGGCATATACGGGGGACTCAGTCTGCAGTTGTGTGTTACCTACTCCAGGAGGGTTGAAATCCCATCGGCCCAGCTACCTGGCAGCTGCCTGCGTCGGATGATGGCAGGTACGATGCCTGGGAATTTGATGTTGACAAGCTCACGGAAGTGCGTAGCCTCGACGACCCGTCATCCTTCCTGAGGGAGTTCGATGCCACGGTCATGGATCGGCTCTGGCGTGAGGCAGCACATCACTTCGACGGCGACGGCATGCAGAACGGTGTGTGCAACCTGTCGTATCGTGTCTTGCTACAGCAACTCAGGGATGGGCCGCAGGGAGCCAAGCTGGCAGGTTTGCTGCTGGCGGCGGCTGCGGGTGCGGCCTGGCCGCGCACCCGACGATCCGAGAGGGCGAAGCAAAGGCTGTCGCAGCTCTTTGCACGCTGTGGGGCTGTCCCTGAGGATAGCTATCGCAGGTGCTGGGGGCAGTGCGCTGGGCGGCAGCCTCATCCCATCCACGAGATGACGGACGAGCTGCTCATCAAAGCTCAGGCTCAGCACGAGTCCGAGCCCTGCTTCTGGCTGCGGGGGCTCATCCTTGCCGACTGGGTACGGGTCAAGCCGCCGCAGCAGGGCGAAGAGTTGCACGTCTACGGTTGCAATGGTTTCGAGCAAGGGGCCCTGGGCTGCGGCAGCGAGCTGAGCCCCCTCTTCATATTCGGGGACGCGAGCGGGGGCAAGGACACGCACGACCCCCGCTTGAGGCGGGCGGGGGTCGGCCTGGCAGCCTTCACGGAGCTCGCCGAGCCCATGCAGATCGCTGCCGCGGTATGGGGTGGCTTGCCTGGCGGCCGACAGACGGTCGGACGAGGGGAGCTCTATGCCCTCTACACGGCCATTCGAGGCGCGGACGGGCATATCAATTATGTGACAGACAATGGGAACGTGTGTGAGGGTTGGCACGCAGGCAAAGCACATTATCCCGAGGGCGAGGACGGTGATTTGTGGTATGCCATAAGTCAGCAGTTGCGTGCACGCCCGTCGTTGCAGGTGTGTGTTATGTTCGTGTTTTCACATCAGGAAGCTAAGGATATAGTCGAAGGCCGTTCCCCACCATTGTACGTAGTCGGTAATACCATTGCCGACGAATTCGCTGGTGAGGGGGCCAAGGTTTGTAGAGTTTCCGAGCACGAGAGGGCCCGTGTGGCCCATGTAGAGTATCAAGCGTATTTAGTTCGCATGCGGATCCTGATCAGCACTCTTCAAACTCTTGAGGCTGAGCAGAACCTTTCCCTTCAGGAGCCCCAGCGGGCCCGTGTCAGGCACCCTGGACCCAGGCCCCCTGCTCCGAGGGTTTGTTCATCGTTTTCCACGCAGCACGTGCTTTCAGAAAAAGGTAATTCCTGTTTGCAGTGTAAAGGCTCCTCCTCCCAGGCTGCTCGTCGAACCTGGCTGGATTCGCCATGTTTTACTCTGCGGTCTGTCGATGGCGTTGTATATGATCTCCCCCATGGGCGTCGGGTGCATATATGTGGGGGATGGGCTCATAGTAGTCATCTGCTTAAGTTTCACTCCGGGCTGGGTATTTGGTTCTGTGGCAGGTGTGGCAGTTTCGCAGCTCAGCAGATTGCGAAGCTCGGAAATGTGTGCCTCGGACCTGCCACGGGTAATCGTGCTGATTACTTAAGGAACATCTCTGCAGGCAAGTGGCCCAAGGCCTACAATTCCTCCGAGAAGGCGCGGAGGGCCAGTGCCAAGTTGGGGCTTTAATCTCAGTCAGTAAGTAAGCGACATGGTCGCAATATCCGTAACTCCGTAACTCCTCCTCCTTCGCCTTCTCCTCCTCCTCCTTCTCATCCTCCTCCTCCCCGACGATGACGACGAAGCGACTACGAGGACGAGGACGAGGACGCCGACGACGACGACGACGGCGAAACCGACGACGGCTGCGGCGGCGACGGCGGCGACGACGACGACGAAGCGACGACGACGACGAGGAGCGGCGGCGGCGAGTAGGCGCGGAGGTGCCCCGGCGACACCCTCGATGGTGTCCTTCAGCTGCTGCTCCTGCGGCGCCCCCGCGGGCGGATCGCGCCGACGCGCGCTGCCTCGCCGGGAACTGCAGTGCCCCCCGTGCCCGTGGGGGCAGGGCGGAAAGTGCCGTGGCTTCAGCTCGGTGTGTGTGTGTGTGTGTGAAAGGTCCCCGCCGTCGCTGGTCGCCTGCTCCTCCTCATCCCCTTGCATGGTGGCCCAATTCGCGCACCGTTTGCCACGTTGTGCCTCTTCCGCCAGCGCGGTCGCTCTGCCGAGCTGCCGAGGCAAAAAAGTGTTTGTGAAAGGTGTGGTTGGAATAGTCTGGTTTGGATGGCCCAAAAAGGGGGTCCTGCCGAAAGGGGGCGGTGCAGCAGATTTGGGGCAGGTGTATGGTAAACGTATTGCGCCAGAGAATTGACTGCACAGTATTGCAACGCATGTAGTGCACGCGATCATTTCCAGGAGTGCATTTGCGCACAGAAATGTATTGCAGGCCCCACGCGTACATTGCACCACCCTCTTTTCGCGGGAGCCTAGGAAGAGAGGCGACTCCAGGCACGATCTGGCACACATGGAAAGCGAGGATGAAATACTACACGATCCCGAGAGTTGCTTCATGGGGGGGGCGACTCTAGTGGGGCGACGAAGCGTGCACCTTTCGTGCCCCTTCGGGGGGCCCCAGGGGCCCCTTGAATGCCCCTCGCGTGCACAAGTGCACCTCTCTTCAACCCCCCTCCCCTCTCATCGCCCCTCCCCCCCTTGCGCGACGCCCGAACGACATCGGGACCGAGGATGTGCTGGGGACCTCTGAGATCCAGCGTTCCTGGTGGACGCCCTCGGATGCCGCAGCCGTTTCACGGAACGCTCCGGAACGCTCCCATTAGACTGCCCCTGGGCGGCGCACCGCCGCGCGCCGCGCGCGGGGCGCGCGCCTGGCGTCACGTCCGGGCCCATCCCCCAGCCTCCGAGGAGGCCCTGGGAGGAGAGAGCACCGATGCCGCCACCCTGCCCTCGTTGTCGCCTGGCCGGGCCTCCTGGGAGGCCTGCGCCGTGGCGGCGGGGACCTCCACGAAAGCCTGGTCGGAACGCACCCGAGGAGGGGCAGGGTCTCATGGTCTGGAGAGAAATGGTATCTGTAGACGTCTTCTCTTGGCCCCCCCAAACCCAAACATCCGGCTGGCTTCTACCATGTCTTTGATGCGTAAGCCCCGGAGGTCCGGACCACTTCCCTACTATACGGCGGGTTTTTCGCCCTGAGCCATTTTTGACGCTCCCGAGCCCCGGCGAGGGCCGCCGGAGGCCGAAACCGGCTAAAAACCGCTCGCTCCGATTTCTCGGAGCGTCTGATCTCTGGGAAGGGCGGAGGGGGGCGAGGACCCCCTCCCCCTCCTCCTCCTCCTCCTCCTCCTCCTCCTCCTCCTCCTCCTCCTCCTCCTCCTCCTCCTCCTTCCCCCAACATCGTTGATGACTCGTGAGTTTACACTGGTCCTCATCCTTCTCCTCCTCCTTCTCCTCTTCCTTCTCCTCCTCCTCCAGATTCCAAGATCATTGATGACTCTTGGGTTTACACTGGTCCTCCTCCTCCTGCTCCTCCTCCTCCTACTCCTCCTCTTTCTCCTGATTCCAATATCGCTGAGGACTCTTGAGTTTACAATGGTCCCCCTCCTCCTCCTCTTCCTGCCCCTCCTCCTGATTCCAGCATCGTTGATGACTCAGGGGTTTACACTGGCCCTCCTCCTCCTCCTCCTTCTCCTCCTCCTCCTCCTTCTGATTCCACCATCGCTGACGACTCTTGGGTTTACACTGGTCCTCCTCCTCCTCCTCCTCCTCCTCCTCCTCCTCCTCCTTCCCCCAACATCGTTGATGACTCGTGAGTTTACACTGGTCCTCCTCCTTCTCTCCTCCTCCTCCCCCTGATTCCAAGATCATTGACGACTCTTGGGTTTACACTGGTCGTGCTCCCTCCTCCTCCTCGTCCCTCTCCTGATTCCAACATCGCTGATGACTCTTGGGTTTACACCGGTCCTCCTGCTCCTGCTCCTCCTGCTCCTCCTGCTCCTCCTCCTCCTCCTCCTTCTCCTCCTCCTCCTCCTCCTCCTCTTGATTCCAACATCGCTGATGACTCGTGAGTTTACACTAGTCCTCCTCCTCCTCCTCCTCCTCCTCCTCCTCCTCGGGATCTCTGGGAAGCTCGAGGATTTTCGTGCGTTGTGCGCTGTGCGGCGCTCAGGTCCGCCGTCCAGGCGGGAGCCGCGCACGGGGGCAGGAAGCCCGGCAGGGCCAGAGCCAGGCCACCAAGCTGGGGAGTGGAGGACGGTAGAAAATAAGACATACTCAAAAATACGCAGCAAAGATCCCCGCAAATAATCAACAAATAATCCCCAGACTATTTTGTGACTATTTTTGAATATTCCCCTTGTAGAAGGACAGGCCCGACTTAACGCTAGTGTGGTTTCCTTTCGAAACCGCCTGAGCCCTCCCGAAACGATGCGAAAACCTCCTGGGAAGGGTTACGGGAGGTTTCTCTGAGGGTTTCGGGGGGGGGAGGGTTTCCGTCGTTTGGGACGGAGGCCAGTCCCTAGCGAAACCTGTGCTTTCTAATGCTAATAGAAGATGTGGGTAAACATATGGATCAGAAAGGCAGCTGAAGTAGATTGGGTGCAGGCCCTCCCAGAAAGTAGCAAAACACAGCAAACGCAGAATGATCGATTCTTGAAGTAGGAAGGCGCTTGAAGTAGATTGGGACCTGGGGTTCCACAGATATCTACTTTCAAAGACCAGCGTGTACGGATATGTGTTGGGCGTCGCTTCGTGGGCGGGCGATGGAGGGGAAGGGGAAACAAGGTGGCCCTGAAGGCGCCCGCTTGGGCCCCTTACGGGCCCTCAAGGGCCCCGTTTCTGCAGCCCTCGCTGCCCCCCCGCATCTGTCGCCCCCCCCATTACGCGACACCCGATGTGGATCCTGGCGCGTGGGCGCCGGATCCACTGATCGGGGAGGGCGCCCCCCGAGACGGGAGGCCAATGCCGCCTGACGTGGCGACGGAGCGTGCCGATGTTGTACGGGGGTGGGGCGCGCCGCCAATAACAATGAACCACAGAACCGAACCGCGAACCGCAGAACCGAACCGACCGAGGGGAAACCGACGGAGACGGAACCCGTCAGAAACCCGACGTGAACCGAAACCGACCCAAACTGGAGGCGGTGGAACCGAACCGGGCCCGAACCGGGAACCGAACCGGGAACCGGTCGTGGAGGTGGACCCTTGGGAACTGCCCGATGCGAGCGCCCACTCTTGCGCTAGGTCCATCCCACCCGCTCCCAACTCCTCCCCTGCGCCCCCGAATTCCCTCGTCCTGTTTTGTTGTTTGTCCAAGGCCGAACTGGGGACGGAAGGGCGCCGGAAAAGCTCAAATCGCATGTTTGGACGGTTCGAAAATTCGTTTTGGGCCTCCAAGTGGTTCTCGGAGCCTCCAAGGGTGCTCTGGGGATGGCAGGGCGGCGGAAAAGCTCAAGTCGCATTTTTGGACGGTTCGAAAATGCGCTTTGGGCCTCCAGGTGGTTTTCGGAGCCTCCAGGGCTGCACTGGGGACGGAAGGGCGACGGAAAAACTCAAATCGCATGTTTGGACGGTTCGAAAATTCGTTTTGGGCCTCCTGGTGGTTCTCGGAGCCTCCAAGGCTGCTCTGGGGATGGCAGGGCGGCGGAAAAGCTCAAGTTGCATTCTTGGACGGTTCGAAAATGCGTTTTGGGCCTCCAGGTGGTTTTCGGAGCCTCCAGGGCTGCACTGGGGACAAAAGGGCGGCGGAAAAACTCAAATCGGATTTCTGAACGGTTCGAAAATGCGCTTTGGGCTTCCAGGGGCCCTCGGGGCCTCCAGCGCCGAACTGGGGACGGCGGCCGGGGCTGGGCCCCCACCATCCTGCGCGCGCCCGGCGAGGGTGCGGGCGGCGCCCTTGCCTTCCCAGTTGTCCTTTGGGATGACCCATGCCAGGAGTGAGTGGTCCGTACTGTCCCAGACCGTAGTGCAAGCGTTCTCTATCCTGGCGCTGAAGAATCGCCCGCTGTCGCCAGCGCCCCCTGGTCCAGAGAGCACGATGCTGTCGACTGGTCCGTCGAGGGCACCATGCGGCATATGCGTAACGTCTGGGCCCAGTGGCTCCCCTGGCTCATCGGGTAGCTGGGCCCAATGGCTCCCCTGGCCCCAGGGTTCGTCCTGACTCCAGGTTGAACTGAACCTCCGAACGCCTCCATATGATCATGTAGACGCACACGCACACACGTCATCTGCAAGAACCGAGAACCGAACTGGAACCGGCTGAAACGGATCCGCCCTCTGAATGAGAACCGCCTCAAAGAGCTCCGAAACCAGAACCGTACTGAACCGAACCAATTCCCCCCGAACCGAAACGAACCGAACGGAACCGGGGACACGCTGCAATAAGCGCGCCGGGATGACTGTCTGCACTTCCTCGAGAGAGGCGGAGGACGAGGAAGGAGAAAGATGCAAGGGCAGACCACAGGGAGATGCGAAGCTGTTGGGGGAGGGGGAGAGGTGGGGGGCCGCACTGCTAGGCTGCGTGCGCAAATCCTCGGTTGCCAAGAGCTCCCTTCCCCGACCAGTGCCTGCACTGATGGCTGACAGTCAAGCTGCTGCATTAAGGAACGCTAGATCCGCCGACCCATGGGCGTGTGATAGACGCTTTTCACTTCGAATCGTCGTCGTCGTCGCCAGTTCCAAGGAAACTGAAAAGCAGGGGGAAGGAACGTCTTAGTCTTAGTTTAGTCTTAGGGAAACCCCTTCCCTTTGTCCCCTCCTTGCCGGGGGGGAAAGGGGGGGAGGAAAGGGGGGGGGCCGGGTCAGACTGCCGCCACCCGCGGGGTCCTGGCGGGTCCCAGGGGGAGGTCGCCAGCGGGGGTCCTGGGGGAGGTCCCGCCTTCAGGGTCGGCGGCGCAGGCTCTTCAACAGCAGAACAGCCTGGGTGCACGAACACGGCTACGGGAACTATCTCACGGAACTACCTCAGGAGCATCGAGCCCTCCTTGGCGGCGCGCACAAGGGGGTGGAGGGAGGGGGGAGGGCTTCTTAGAAGGAGGCTGCTTCTTAGAAGGCGCCGGCCTCATCTATTAGACAAGGCCCGCGCCTTCTAAGAAGCAGGGGCGCTTCTAAGAAGCCCTCCCCCTCCCCCCACCCCCCTCTGCGCGTGGCTGGCCTCCAGGACCTAACGCGGTCCTTACTTCGGCGTGCTGATCTTGTGCGCGCTGCCTCGAAACGCATGTCAAACTCGTCCTGAGGGTGTCCGGCTGCCGCCCGGGCCCCGCTACCCTGCGGGCGGCGCCCCGTGCCCTGCGGCAGGTGCCCAATGTGATGCCTCGAACGTCGGGATGGCCCGACCGAGCGGAGCTGCCTTCGAGGAGTCGACTACAGATTTGAGTTGCCCACGAATTGATTTGATCGTCGCACTTACCGACAATAAGACGAATGCTCGTAGATCCATGGTATACTTACGCATGCCACGTAGATCTGACAGGAATAGCAGTTCGTGGGTAAATCAATTTTGGCATCGATCTCCTATTCGATGACTGCGGCGCAGCCAAGCCGACCGAAACGCGCACTCTCGCGGGGGATCGGGAACATTGCCACAGTGGTCAAGGCCCAGGTTGCTCCCAGCTTCTCGCGCCATTCTGGGGCCCCTGGGCCCCTGTTGGGCCTCGTGAGGGGGGCATCGCTGCTGTGGTGGCCTCTATATGTTTTCGCGCCAGGCCATCCCGAACCGCTTGATGAGGTCCTGGGGCCCGGTCGCAGCCGCACTCCGCGCGGCGTCGCTGCTTCTACTAGGGGGCGCGCGACAGGCGGAATACGGCTTTTATACATATGTATATATATATATATATATGTATACATATATATATATACACACACACTGCATTGGCGCTTCGCGCCATGCGCCTTGGTCCTTGAAGTTTGGCATGCGGGCGGAATGGCAGGAAGGTCAAGCCGACAATTTAGCGAGAACTCCATGTTGCCTGCTCGGGCATCGCCGTTATAATTTTGTTCTTCGTTATCCTTCCTCCATACTTGTTTTTCCTCCTTCTCGCCAAACCCTGCGTATTCTCCCCATCCTCCTCAGCTCTTTTTGCGGAGGCTCCTCCTTGGCGAGCCAATGGGGCCTCGCAAGAGCTTTTCAAGTTTTGTTACGTAAGACCTTCTGGAGGCCTCCTGGGCGTCTTCTGGGGGCCTCCGGGGGCTTCCTCGGGCCACCCTGCCTCCAACTGTGGTTCTCTCAGGCCATCTTGGAATTCTGTTGTGCCGTCTTGGAGCTCTCTCGGACTGCCTGGAAACACTTTCGGATGGATGTAGGGCGATTTTCGAGCCTCAGGCAGCTTCGGACGCCCAGAAGACCGCCGTCTTGGAGCGTCGAAAAGCCAAAAGGAGGAAAACCCCCAAATTCCCCCCCCCCTCAAAAAAATATATGAATGTTGTCTCTTGGGGCCTTCTTGGGTGTGCTCTTGGAAGCCTCTTGGGACGTTTTGGAACGATCTTTTGGGGGGTATGACAGTTTCTGTGGGGTCGTCGTGGACCGTCTTGGGGCTCTCTGGGGTCATTTCGGGAACACGCTGGAACGCCTGGAGCCCTCCTCTGGGGACGTGTTCGGGCTGTCGTGGGGTGTTCCCGGGTAGTCTGGAGGGAGGGTTGCACGAGAGGACAGGGGTGGGCCAAATTCGTCAAGGGGGGGGGGGCGCTTTTGCCGGTCCCAGCCTTATAAACATATGACTACATATATATATATATATACACACACATGTATAGGTTTATACAAGACTGCATTGGCGCTTCGCGCCATGCGCTTTGTTCCAGACGCTTCCCCGGCAAAGCAATGAATCATTGCTTGCTTCAGCACCGCTCCTCATGGGAGGAGGTGAGGGGAAAAGTTTCTTCTGGCGTCTCATCTGCCACCTCCAATTTTTATCCCTACCAATCCCTTCCTCCTCCTTTCGTCCTCTTCCGCCTCCTCTGGTGGTTGAATCCATCCTTTGAGGGAGTAAGGGGCGTTCCCATGACGCGCCGAAGAAGCCGCAGTAGCTCCGAACACTTGATTCATATTCGCTTCCTGAATGCCTGGGGGTGGCTCCAGGAAATCTTCGATCGTCGAAGTTCGAATCCAGATCCATTGCCTGTCTCGCTCGATCGAGGAGTTTAAACCTCGAGCCTCAAGCGTCGAACCAAGATCGTCGGGTCAGCTCGGTGTACTTCGTAGGAGAACGCCGTCTGGGCGTTTTGGGGGTTCTTCTGGGCCGTCCTGGGGCCCTCTTGGGCCGTCAGGGGGCCTTCTTGGGCTGTCTTGGGGAGCAGGGGCCCTCCTGAAGCCATCTAGGGCCCTCTTGTGGGCCTCCAGTGGCCTTCTTGGGGGTCTCCCATGGCTTTCGTGGGTCTCTCTTGGGAGCCTTCTGGGGGCATCTTGGGCTTCTTGTGGGCAGTCTCGGGGCTCTCTGGGGCAGTCTTGGGGCCCTCTTCAAACCCTCTGGGGGGCCTCTTGGGCCGTCTTGAGGCGGAGCGGGGGCCCATCGGGCCGTCTTGATCGCTAACAAGATCCAACAAGAGGGTGTGCTAAAAATATACATGATCCTAAGGGCATGGGGAGGTGTTTGCTTCTCAGGGGCTCTTACCGGCCTCTTGGGACGTCTTGGGGGCCTCTAGGGTCGTCTTCAGACCATCGAGGTTCTTCGTGAAGCGCTCTTGTGCTGTCTTGAGCCTCTCTTGCGCCTCTCCGATGACCCCTCTGATCGCCTTGAGTCTGCTCGCAAGGCCCGGCAAAGCGCCCTCGGAGGCCCCGAAGGGCCAGCGGACCTTTTCCGAGGGCGTCCAGGGGGCCGCCGAGACGTCCGAAAGGGCGCCCGGGGCGTCCCTGTGGGAGGGGTCCGGGGTAAGGGGGGCGGGGTGGGGGGGGTGGTTCCGGGTAATGAGAGTCTAAGAATAGGTCTATATATAGAGAGAGAGGGAGGGAGAGAGAGAGAGAGAGGTCTATATATATATATATATAGAGAGAGAGAGAAACAAAAAAGAGAGAGAGAGAGAGAGAAAGAGAGAGAGAGAGAGAGGAAAAAGAAACATAAACAAAAGAAATAGTCTGTCGTTTGCCGTGGTGGCCACGGCGTGCCCCCCGACCCCTCCCGTCGCTCGGACGCCCGTTTCCAGTGCATTTGTCGGTCTCGCGCGTGTTTTTTTGTTTTTTGTGGCTCGATGGTCCAGGGTGGTCCTCGAGGGCTCTCGCCGAGGAAACGTGCACACGCCCGAGGGATGCCAGGGCAACCTGCCCGGGAAGGAGAATCCATAGGGGCGGGGCAGCGCGAGAGAGGGCGAGGAGGAGGAGCGACCCGCACCTTCCCGGCGGGGCTCGTGCGACGGGCGGGGCTCTGCGCAGCGCCCCGTGCACAGCAAAAAGAGGAACGGGGGAGCGCAGACGCCGAGGACGAGCATCGGCGGCGAACGAGGAGGGGAAGGCTGTCTCACAAGGTTCGGAGGCAACTGCTGGTAGGCTTTCGTCGGAAAGATCAAGGAGGATCTAAGAACCATTGGGGAGCTGTTGCGCCGGAGTGGGCCTCGGATCAAGCGGGATGAAGCCGCACTCAGCGGGACTGAGCGGGATGTGGGACCAGGGCAACATCAGACTTCGACCTCCCAGGGGCTGCCTCCGAAACAGGGCGGCGGGGCTCCTCAGAGGCCCTCGCGCCACGCCCGCTGAGAAAAGTGTGTGTGTGTGTGTGTGTGTGTGTGTGTGTGTGTGTGTGTGTGTGTGTGTGTGTGTGTGTGTGTGTGTGTGTGTGTGTTCTTCGGCGTCCTCGGGGGCAGGCCCCGGGGGAGCTTCTCTCCGAGGGGCCGGCGGGGGGCGCCTTGAGGCCTCCGAGAGGGCCCGCCCCGTCCCACGTGGCCCCCTCGGGGCTCGCCGCCGGAGAGGCGGAGCGGGGGGGGGGGCGGTCCTCGAACTGGTACAGGCTGTTCTCCTTCGCGCGGAGGGCTGCGGCCTGGCGGGAGGCGAGGCGTGTCGTCGTCGTCGTCGTCGTCGTCGTCGTCGTCGTCGTCGTCGTCGTCGTCGTCGTCGTCGTCGTCGTCGTCGTCGTCGTCGTCGTCATGCTCCTCCGCCTCCTCCTCCTCCTTCTCCTCCTCCTCCCCCTACTCCTCCTCCTCCTTCTCCTCCTCCTCTTTGCAAGAGCTTCACGGATTGAAGGCGGCTCCTTTTCAAAATGTGGCTCTCGCCGTAGCGCCGCGCACATTCGTTCATACAAATTGGAAGAGTTTCACGGATTCCCACGATAAACGTACCAGAAACGGCGTTCTGAAAGGATTCAGGATTATGCGGGTGCAACAGTTACGTACATTCGCGGTGTTGAAATTCTCAAACTGGCGTTCGGGCACACGATTCCGGATCGTCCAGCCGCAGCAGTCGCGTTGACCCGTGGCGTTGAAATCCCGAGAACAATGTTTTGGCATGCTTCAGGGTCTTCTAACGGTTGTCCCCCAACGAGACAACTCCCTTAATAGAAATGAATCGTTGTAGGGGCCGAAGAAAAAGGAGCTCGGAAAGAGGGTGAATTCCAACATCGTTGATGACTCTTGGGTTTACACTGGTCCTCCTCCTCCTCCTCCTCGCCTCCTCCTCTTCCTCCTTTCCCTCTGAGACCTGACGCTGCCAGGGAGAAAAAAACCCAACAGCGCGAACAGTCACGACTGGAGCCCTGGACCTCATCCTTCTGCGCCATGCCCAGAGCCGGGTCGATCTGTGCGGGCCCTGGGGTCCGTGGCCAGGCGGACGCGCCCTGATCCCGGGGATCCTGGGCGCCATGATCCTGGGGATCCTGGGGATATCCTAGGGATCCTGGGGGTCCTGGTCCTGATCCTGGGGATCCTGGGGATCCTGGGGGATCCTGGGGGTCCTGGGGGTCCTGGGGGTCCTGGGGGCCCTGGGGGTCCAGATGGATCCGTGAGGGTCCCTGGGGGGTCGGGCCTGGGGCCCCCGGGGATCACGCTATGACGCGCGGATCCGGTGGGAGGACTCCAGCCTCCCCCCTCCCCCCCTGTGCGTGCAGGGTATGTTTTAAAACATTTGATTTTTTATCACAAAAAACCCGGGATGATGCATCTGTTTTTACTGCTGAATCCCTGCATTTTTAATACATGATCCGCACGCGGAGCACGTATAACAAACGGCACTGTATGAAGATGGCCACGCTTCCCTCCAGGCCGATCCTGTCCGTCTTCCCCGTGGTTTCCCTGCCCATACTTGCGGTCAAAACATTGATTGCCACGCCTTCGTGCGGATTGGTCGTCAGGCGCAGGGGATGCGGGTGCATGACGCGCGTGTCACTACGGCCATCTGGTGCGAATTCTCAAGTAGACGCAAACATACTGACTGCGCAGCGACGACAAGTTCACTCGTGAATGTCGTCGCTCGGGGCCGCGGCCATTGGACCCTAGCATGGTGTTGCCAGCCTGCCTGTCCCACCTAGCGCCCCAAACCGTGCTGTGGGAAACGACATCAGAACGAGGTTTTCCATGAAAGAAGCGGGTCAGGTCCCCTGTCCTTCCCCTCACCGACTCTTGGCCGATGTGTCTCCCCCTCATGCCCCTATTCTGGGTCGATTCTGGGCCGATTCTGGGCCTATTCTGGGCCGATTCTGGATCGACTCTGGGCCGATTCTGAATCGATTCTGGGCCGATTCTGGGCCGACTCTGGGTCGTTCTGTCCCCCCCCGTGTCGTTGCCCCTCCTCCTCCTCCTTCCCTCGGGCCCTGGAACTTCCCCCAAGGACCAACTCTTCACCCCGGGTTTCTGTGACGATCCCCGGGCCCGGCGAAGGTCACGAACAACCGACGACCTGGAGACCACTGGGGACCCGTGCCCTCAGGCCCAGCCTGCTCCACGGTGATACAGCGGAGGCTGGTCATCAAGAAACCTTCCACGGGAAACCCAACCCTGAGATCCCGGGACGTCCACTGATTTTTGGTGTGGGAGCGCCACGCTTCCTTCCCATGGCAAAACCTTCGAACCCAGGAAACCCAGGGGCGTTTCTTGGCATGGGTATCCACTGTAAGCACTGTCTCGAACAAATGTGGGTCGGCCAGAAGGGGAAGCGCGGAGAGGGGAGATTTCACTCGCGTGCCAAGCGCATCTCTTAAAAAGTGCCATAACATTTTGCACCCGCGCTGCGATGCGCACAGAGGTAGCCACCAGACATGAAGCTCCATCCTCGTCAGAAGAGGCGCTGCGGAGCGGCAGCACCAAAGAGACCTCCAGCAGCGTTGGGGCCGAAGAGACCTCCAGCAGTGTTGTTGGGGCCGAAGAGGCCTCCACCAGCGTTGACACCGAAGGGACCTGCACCAGTCACTTCTTCACTGAACTTATGTATCCGCCACCGTGCCCCCTGGCACGTTGAGGCGTGGTAAGATCCCAAGTGCTGCCTGGTAGGGTCTCTGTTGATCTTCCGATGTAAAACGAAGCTAGGACGAAGAAACCATCGGGTACGGACACATCGAGAACCTCTGAGATCTGGCCGATCTGCGGGTTGTCTCGGGCGCCGCGACCGCTCTGGAACGGACCCAAACCCCCGACGTCGTGAATTTTTCACAGCGTCGACCCCCAGAAGTCCGGACCCCTTCCCGGGGACTGGTTTTTTATCCTGAATGTTTGTTTGAAGGTCGAGGCCCGGGAAGGGCCCCTGGAGGCGGGAAATAGCGAAAAACCTCCCGAAATTCACAACGCGACGAGGTCTTTGAGGATTTATCCTCGTCCTGGCCGCGTCCGACGAGGCCCCCCCGCATCTCGCCACATCTCCCCCTCCCGAGGCCCCCTGGACGCCCTGACACCGCTTCCCTGGCGCGCTCCAGCGCGTCCAGGAGGCCCAGCAGCATGACTTCCAAGACGGCCCCGGCAGGCACCAACAGTGCCAAGATGGCCAGGATCGCCCCAATGCGTACAGTGGAGGTCCATGCCAAGAAGCGCCTTGCTTGCCTCCAGGGTGCCCTGGGTTCCCTGGGTTTCGAAGGTTTTGCCATGGATAGCGTGACGCTCCCACACCAAACATCGATGGACGTGCTGGAGTCTCAGGGTTGGGGGCTGGGTTTCTCGTGGAAGGTTTCTTGTGGTCGGGCCCCTAATGTACCCAAGAGACTCTCAGATACGTCCAGTGGGTTCCAAAAGGCCTTCTCGAAAGGCTACAGGGGGCCGTCGGGAAGCTCCATGAGGCCCTGGGGAGCGGTCTTCCCCGAATGGCGCTTGCACTGAAGGGCCCCTGCATGCTTTCTCAAATCGCAACACTAGGGGGGGACTGGCATGGGGGAGGACTCATCAACCTGGAATCGTCGATACGTCACCAATAGATCGGCGATCGGCCCCCGATCGCTAATCCGCACGCTCCTGGGCAGGTTGGGGCCATCGGGGCCATATCGGCGATCAATGGGCGATTGGGCATCCCCTCCCCTACAGTGTGGGCCCCTGTGGGCGAGGCCGCAAAAACTCTCGCAAGAAATGCAACCCTGAAGAGCCGCGCGGCAGCTGCACCTGGGGGGTGAACCCAGAGCACCCTGAACGCAGCAGCTTCCTCAACGGCCGCGGGAAGTCGCCGCGCAGCGCGCGGAGCGAAGAAACCCGAGGTACCCTGACGAAAAGCACTCGGTTTCCTGATGCGCGCCCCCACTGTAGATGCCTATCCCCCCCTCTCGTTTTTGGTTGACCCACAGAGGGGTCCAGCTGAAAGGGGGTGGTGCAAGGTTTGGGGCAATTGTGTTGCAAATGTATTGCGACAGAAGAATTGGATTGCATTGTATTGTAACTAATGTGCTGCGCACGAAAACCCAGCAATACATTTGCGCACCGGAATGTATTGCACGCCCCACATAGATTGCAACCGCACAGTGCTATTGCACCACATCTATTGCACCACCCCCTTATCGCTGAACCCCCCTTTGGGTCAACCAGATCGTTGCCCCTGACCAGATCTTTCGGCATTGGACGCCCTGTCTCGACTTTCCGCCGCTGCCCCGGCCGTGGGCGCTGCCTCGTGCCGGGGGGAACGAAGAGGGGGGGGGATAGCACAGGGTGGGGCAGCAGCTCACGTGGCTGCCTCTCCCAGCGCCTCCCGGCGCCCGTGTGTCGAGGAATGGGCCCGGCGGCAGGGCCGAAACCAGCAGCATGCAGCAGGTTCCGCAACCCCCCTTTCCCTATCCCCTTCCTCCTCCTCCTCCTCCTCCTCCTCCTCCTCCTCCGCCTCCTCCGCCTCCTCCTCCTCTTTTACCCCTCATCCCTCCTTTCTCCCCCTTTCGTTCGGCCCGATCGTGGGCCGCCCCTCGTGCGCCGCCTGCGGGACTCCCTGGGCCTCTCGGCCGCCGCCCGGCCGCGGGGCGCCTCGCGACAGCACTTGCCCGAGAGGCCTCCCACAAGGGGTTCCGGGTGCAGCCGGACTTGATCGGACAGGACGCGCATCGGGACTTGATCGGGACTTGATCGAACAGGACACGCATCGGGACTTGATCGTGCCGAGTGCAGTCGGACTTGATCGGGAGGGCACAAGACCCTCCCGAGGGCCGCATCGCCACGGGAATGCAAGAGGGCGGGTCGCAAGGCCCAGGACGCAAGGGGCACCCTTGAGCTGGCAGGGCCGACCTGCTAATCAAGGCCGACTGTAGATGGGGTCGAGGGATCGCGCCGCATCGGCGATGCCTCGGCGATGCATTGGCGATGCATCGGCGACGCCAACGTGGAGAAAATCGGGCTCCACGTCGAGCCGCATCGCCGATGCATCGACGATGCGGCGCGATCCTCCGACCCTGTCTGCTTGAACGCCATTGGGGAAGCCTAGAACTTTGTGCCGCCCAGCTTCACATAGGTTCTCTGTTCAACAAGAACCTAAACTCTACTACCCTCCTGGGCCTGGACTTCAGGCCCACCCTGGAACATGGCAAATTGCATCTGACTCGGCGTCATCGCTCGCTTCCTAGATGAATTCGTACCATCCCAAGTCAAACGGTAT